CCACTGTGGGTGCCTGAGGGCCTTTTTCCTGCGGGCACAAACTGGAGGGTTTCAGTAAGGTCAACTCCCCAGTCCTCCCCAGCTCCGGCATGCAAAAGGCTTCACAGAGGGGACGTCTGAGCACAGTCCCCTTCCGTCCACTGGGCCTACGGGCCTCTCTATTTTTCCCTGGGGCTCCCTCACATTCCTTGTAAAGCTAATCTGAGCCTGGTGGTTAGGAGGGCTGAGGACAGCGACACGGGGAGGGACAGCAGCCATACCAGGCTTGGGTTGGTTTTATGCAGGCCTGACCTACTTAACTGACTGTGAGAGTGCAGCCAGTTTCTCACTGATGAGAAAGGCTGGGAAAACAGTTTTGAGCGGAGACTTAATTAATTGGTACTTTATTTCTCTATTTAAGCATCTAATTTTTTTTTTTTTTTTAGGAGAGGGAGGTGGGGGGGGGCAGAGGCAGAGGGAGAGAGAATCCCAAGCCGACTCCACTCTGAGCACAGAGTCCGACACGGGGCTCAATCTCAGGGCCTTGAGATCATGATCTGAGCCAAAATCAGGAGGTGGAGGCTTAACCGACTGAGCCACCCAGGCGCCCAAGCATCTAATGATAATTAATCTTGGTTGAAAAAAATGTACATTCTAGCTTCTCCGACATGCCTTTAGAGCATGAGAGAGGACGGTCTGGGCTTGTGTGCCTCTTCCCAGAAAGTGGAGAACAGCATGGGAGAAGAGCAAGAACGCGCTGGGGCCGGAGGCTCTGCTGTGAGCCGCTATGTACAAGAGCGGATCTGAGGCGCTGCTTCGCGACAGGTCACTGCTTACCCCCCCGCGCGTGAAGATGGTGAGAGCGGACGGACGGAAGTGTTCAGTCCCCACGCAGGCCTGGGGCGCCACCGCTCTGAACCCCTCCAGACTTACAATGGTACCACGAGCCGAGATCTGACCTTGAGGGCACCGTCAGTGCCGGGGACCAGGCGCCCGTTCTGGCCTCCCGGGAAAGGTGGCGGTCTCCACCGGTCTGTCCTCAGGGAAACGCAGCCCTGTTGGGGCATCTCTACTGCGGGGTTTGTCTGCCTTTGTTTGTGTTTTCCTCAAAGACCCCTCACAACCAAATGAGGAGCAGATCTTGAGGATGCCGTTCCCTCCAGATCATTCCAGAAGGAAATGTGGCTCCTGAGTGGCTGGGACACCACCAACACCACCCAGTCCCCAGGGCCTTCTCCCCAGCCTGTTCCTTTCCCAGGACAGCGTGATCCCCTCCCAGGACTGGAGCCCAGCCACCAAAGTCATGAAACTTCAAGACGACTCAAAAACGCCTCGGCTTTGGTGAAGATATAGAGCTAAACAATGCTTTTTCAAGCTTTCTTCATAGATTTAAAGGAGAGTTCTCTCCCAGAGTTCAGTTTATAGGTTTAAAACCAATTTCCAAAAGGAGGAAAAAGGGAATGAAAAAAGAAAGCAAACAAGGAAAGAAGAGAGAGGGAGAAAGTCTGTCATCTTCATTTAAAAAAAAAATGACTCTTATTCATTACTTGGTTTACTCATAAAATAATTGTGTTTTGTTGGTAAACCCACCCAAATAGGAGGTCCATGAGAGCAGGGACTTTGTTCTTTACCCTGGCATTTATAAGAGTTCCTGACACACAGTAGACACTCCATTAATATTTGTTGAACTAGTTATACATTTTAATATTTGAAGCAAAAGAAACACTTAAAGATTTGGGTGGAAAAGATTTTTCCCTGAGTTTGGAGAAAAAAGAAAATGTGTAAGTCCTGAGGAAGAAGAGAGATGATTCTTCTGAAGTTTCCTTGTGTTTTCCTTATGCATTTGTACCTCCCTTTGCCCCACCTTCCCACTCACCCTTGCCCCAACTCAGAAAGGGTCAGCGTCCTTCTGATCCATGTCCCCTTTCTAAGGTCATGGGCAAGGACGTTTCCAGCAGTACCTGCCATTGTAAGAAACAGAAATCCCTGATGAAGACAAGGCAGGCATAACCTACACATGGCATCCCCAGAAAAATGGACAAGTAGGTGGGAGCTTGGGGGCACAGCTTAAGAGACCGTGGAGCCCCTAAAGCCCATTCGTGGAAACAAGGGTAGGAATCCACGCTCCAGTGGAGTCTGTGAATAAATGGTAACTTCCGGGCCCTTCAAACATTGAGCCCCAGCAACGCCCTGAGAGGCTGTGCCCTGGCTCATTTTACCGAGCCTTCAGAATTTGACAGGCTGGCAGACACTGTATTTGGCAGGAGAGTTAGGAAGGTTTCTGTGGCAAATAAAACCCAAGACAGTTTCCAGAACAAGAGAGCCATATGATCCTACACAAGGACGAAATGGCATGATGGCGAAGACTCCAGATTGGTTAGCCCAATCAGGATTAAACTCCACCTACTGACAGAGACATGACTTTCTAAGCAGAATTTTAATGAAAATTTCAGAGGACAAGTTGAGAAACACTGCTCAGATTCTATTATCTAAAAGTAAATATCTTTCCCTAATTTACTTTTCATTTTTAATTATTATGTTCTCAGGCCAAAAACCATTTATCAACTTATCACTATAAATTTTGATACATCCACAATAACATCATCAGGGATGTAATAGCAAGAAAACCATCTTCCAGGAGTAGAAAGGAATTTACATTGATTCTACCATGGAGGGTCCTAAGGGACCATAGAGTTAACCCCTTATTCCCCACGGAGATCGAGACACAGAGAGGCTTGTCCACCAGCCTGAGGACTCACAGCAGAGCACAGCTCCCCTCCCACCTACTGAGTAGGGCCAGCAGAGACAAGAGGCAGTGGTCTGTGGCGTTAGCTCGCTCCTCTGGTCTGGGCAGTTGGGCTGAGGTTCAGAAGTCGTAAAAGCTCCCCAGGGATTTCAGTGTGCATCCAGGATTGGGCACCTCGGTTGGAAGGGTGCCTTGCACACTGGTCCATTAGAATCACCTGCGAGCTTCCTCCTTCCCTGTTCACCTCTCCCCTGGGAGACGCAGACTTTCCCCAATAGGGCGTCTCAATGCCGATGTGAGCAGACCTTCTGGGAACCGTACAAAGTCCAAAGGAAAGGGGTTAAGTTACTCTGCCGCTCCCCATCTGGGGGACGGGGTCTGCCCAACCCACCGCAATCTATCATCTCTCCATCCAAACCCATTTGCTTATCATCTCAGGAAAGCTTGGCCCCAGAAGTAGGTGATTTCTATTCTGTTCAAGTATTATTTGAGTACTTTTCCTAGGATTTTGTGGTGTTGATTTTGGGATTAGTGTGCCCTCTTCTAAGGTTTATAAATTATTTTTTGATCACACAGAATTAACTAATTATAAGATAATTTGCTAAAGTGGGTTTTGGCCTGCATTGATTGTTACGAGATCACTCAACAGAGGCATTACAGAACACTTTCTGGAACAGCTCATTTCATAACACTGACGTCAAAAGCTCAGCTCTTTCTCCCACAGGTCTGACTTCCCTGGGTCCACAGAGGGCAGTTTATCAGAAAGGGGGGCCTGTCTTGCTTCCGAGGAGCAGTAGCTGTTTCTACAGCACTTGGTGTGTGTCATTTTGCTCAACCCATGGCCACTTGAGCAAATGAGGCTGGGGCTGGAGGCTTGGAGGCGGCTTAGCCTGAAGTTGAGTCTTGGGATTTTCAGAAGGATCACCATAGGAGGTCTGGCTTTGGGCCATTTAAATCATGGCAAAACAGAAACGTGTGAATCCTCTGGTCGTAAGCTGTAGAACACAAATCAACCAGTAGATAGAACCCTATCCGTTTACTTACCTGCTGTATTTACCATCTATGTTGGCAGAGGGAGTCTTTCAAGGAATCAGCTTATGCAATTATGGGGACCAACAAGTCCAAAATCCACAGGCTGGGCCAGCAGACCAGACACTAAAGCAAGATACCCGTGCTATCATCCTGAGGAAGATCTCCTTTAAGGAAGCCTCAATGTTTGCTTTAAGGTCTTTCTACTGATTAGAGGGGGCCCACCCACACCACTGAGAATAATTTCCTTGACTTCACATCTGCTAATGGGAGATGCTGAACCAGGCTGACCCCCTTGACCTTGTCTCTTCCTGCCGAAGATGTGGGCACTGGGGCAGTCACTTGTGATCCCATGGGGGAAATCATGAAAACCTTAAGGGGATTCGGCCCCTGCATCATCAGATCACAGAGCCAGGGCCTGAAGTCACCTTCTCCTGGACTTCTTTCCATGTGAATAAATACACCTACCTGGGTAAATAAACTTGAAGGATTCTAGTTGTTATATTCTGTTACTTGGAGCCAAAGCATTCGTAACTGATACACTGGATCTGATGGAGAAGATTCAGTCCACTTCTGAGTTAGGAGCTACATTAGTGGCAAGGAATAAACAACTGCTCAGGGTCTAATTAAGAGGTTTATTGAAAGGACAAGGAGATTAAGGGCCGAAGCAACCGCGACAGCCACCGGCCAGGTGTGACAGGAGCTCAGATGGGTCTCGTGGGCCATCCACCATTGAGGAGGTCTCAGGAGCCCCACAGAAGCTGTGGGGACCGAAAGGTAGCTCTAGAACCCCACACTGTGACCTCATCATCTCTGCCTCCCTTCCTATTTTTCACTCGGCCTGCTCTGCAGCCTGACAGGCTGTCCCACCTCATCTCCACTGTTGGCTACATCCATATCTAGCTCCACATCTCACCTTCTGGGACTCTGCTGTCTGCAAACTCCATAAGAGACAAGCTCTGTTGGGGTTGGCCAGTCATCCCCAGATACATTAGTGTCTGTCAAAGATAAGACTCACCTGCAGGATCTGAGAACACTGTGGGTTCCTGGGACCTATCCTAGACTGACTATATCACAATGGAGGGACACAGATGGGAGTCTGCATCATTAGGAATCTACCCAAGTGTTTCTCATGCACTCAGTATGAGAACACTGCTTTCTAAAATGCTCCTGCCTTCTGCAGGCTAGGCCATAGGCCGCTGACCATTGGAGGAGAGCTTGAACTTCACCCAGACACAAGGCTTACCTCCAAGAGCCATAACCTGGGTGTCTGGTGGAATATTCCAGGACGGGGGAGATTCAGAACAGAGACATGTTCTCATATTCTTGGATGAGGAAGTACCTAGGAGAAAGCAAAGGTTCTTTACAAAAGTGCAAAGGTTCACTATGGGGGGAGATGACAAAATGACCCAGAGAACTTATTTTTCCTTGAAAATTTCTTATTTTCCCACAGCAACCAAATGAGTCATGGGATTTGCTAGCCAAGGGTTGGAGGATGGGGAGCTTACATAAAGCTGAGAACCAAAGCCAACTAGGTTTCTAAATCAGTTTTTCAAATCTTCTCTCAGACTTTTGATCTTGAAATCCAAGGCTTCTATTACAAGAGCAGGCTTCTTAAGAGAGAACAGCTTCCTTGAGCTGCACAAAGAGCCTAGATGATCCAAAGCTTTGAGCTTGTGCCATAAGTCAGAGTGTGAAGAAAAATATAGAATGGCATGAAACAATTTTCCATCCCAAAACAAGATGAAAGTTTGTTGTGGGAAGAACAGGGTAAGCTGCTGCTAGGATCTCAACACAGCCCCTAGAAGACCTTAGAGCAGAAGCAGAGACCCAGAGCAGAAGCAAGTCCCGGGAGGCAGCAAGCAGTGTTTGTAAATAGAACCAGAGGCACGCCCTCGCTGCCCTCCTCTCACCGGACACAGGGCTTCCCCAGACAAAGCCTGTGCATCCTCAGTTTGCCCGCCCCCGGCCCTCTCTGGCACTCAGTTCTCCAACAGAGCCTTGCACACAGAAGGCCTCTATCTGGATTGTTCCCTCCCTGGTCCTGTACCGTGTGAGACCCCAGGGCCTGCAGGCTCTTCGGGGATGGGAGCCACATGCACACGATCTACCATTCACAGGGTCCCACAAGAACCACAACATCAACAGTAACACTCACCGAGGGCATCTATGTACCAGGAAAGACACTCATCATCCCGTAGCCTGTCTGTAGGTGCTGTTATTACCCCATTTTACAGCAAAGAAACCAAAGTCAGGGAGGGCAGGCAACTCGCCCAAGAGTGTCCAGTCAGCAAGTGACACAGCCGGGAGCTGAACGAGGCGGCGCGCTTGGCCATCTCCCTGTGAGCAAGACAATGGATGTAGCAGACAGCAAGAGTGCGGCGGCCTGAGTCGGCATGGGGTTCAAGTGCAGCTTCACTGGAGAAGCAGGTGCTGGGGTCAAAGGGCTCTGCTTTCCGGTGGAGGCCCTGTGACGGTCCTCCCGGGAGACGCAGGAGCTCAGGGGTGCCTGTCCAAGGCGCCCAGGCCACAGGCTCCCAGAGCCAGCTGCGGTTTCCCCACTGCAGGGACACAGGGTTGGGAAAAGGCCAGCCACGGCACCTGGGAACCGCGGGCTTCAGTTAGGTGCCACGGACTGTGAGCGGACGCTGCTGCCAGGCTTGCAGAACCGAAGACAAAGTACCAACGGACCATAGCATCCAAGTTATGGCGACCAATACGAAACACACATGATCAAAAATATCAAATAGTGCTGTGAACCACACACAACAAAAGACCCTTCTCTGCTGGTCCCTGGAGCGGACACTGGCAAGCCTCGCCCGGGATCCTAGGAGCTACCACGTTTCTGGATGATGGTCTTCAAACAGGACTTCTTGACTGACCGATAGTGGATACTGACTTTCTGTTTGGGTGAGAAGATTGGGCTTTGGTACACCTCCCACTGACGTTAAATCGTGACTTTAATGAACATGATCAGAGTCGTCACAGAGCTGAGTAGCGTTAGGGTTAGTCTCCGTGGCTGGGGGCTTCGACATCGCCTTTCTTTCTCTCGCTCTGTCCAGGCCTGTGTATTCATAGTTCTCTCTGCAAGCTCCACTATGTTGAGCAGTCCAATAAATCCGGGGAGCTTTTTCTCCTCCCCCGATCTCCTCCCCAGGGCGCCCCTGCCCACCCCTCGGAGTCCCAGGATCCGGGTGTGCCATCAGGCCTGTCTCCAGGCCGGATATTTCATGTCTTCTTTCCTCTGGATTTTCTACCTTGTGTTCTTTGCTTATATCCTCAAGTGGCTTTCTGAAAAAGAGTACATCAGAAAAAAACGTTACCTGAGGTAATGAATATGTAAAACTACTACTATTTCATCTTATCAGTGATTTACTTTTGTTCCAGGTTGAACCATTCCTTTTAGAACTAGCAAAGCCTGGTCCCAGCGACTTCTGTGCCGCTATGAGGCTGAGAAGTCTGCTACCAACCCAACTCTCACCTCCTTGGATACTTTCCTCCGCCATCCACTCCCTGGGACTTGTTAGGGTCTTCTCTTGACTCTTGGAGCTCGGAAACTTAATGATGTTAAATCTCTGCGTAGGTTTGGGGTTTTTTTGTTGTTTTGTTTTGTTTTGTTTTGTTTTTGCTTTGGTTTTTGGTCTTGGGGCTTTTTTCATTCACACAGAGAGCCCAGTTAATCTGGAGACTTGTGTCCTTTAACTCTGGGACATTTTTCTTACATTTCTTTGATATTTTTCTCCTTCATTTTCTCCATTATTTTTCCATAATCCCTACTAATTAGATATTGTTCTTTTAAGTGTTTGTCATTTTGTTGTACTTTCTGGGCTGTTTCCTTACTTTATCTCCCAACACTTCTACTGAATTTTTTCATTTTGTAAATCATGTTTCTGATTTCCAGGAGCCTTTCTTAATTCCCTGATTATTTTCTGTCTGTGGCATGGTGTTCTTATTTATCAGTATACTCTCAAAACCTTTGAGGAATATATCTATTCTGAGGTTTATCTTTGCTTTCCATAGGATCGTTTTTAGTTGGTTTATTTCAGTCTATTTTATATCAAAGATTTCAATGTTTGCCTTTCTATTTCCAGCATATAGATACCTCCTTCTGTGGTTTTATTTTCTCCAGGGAAGTAACCCCAGCTCTCCCGATGGAGGGCAGATGCCTGACAGTGAGCATTCTCAGGCCAGAGTCTGACAGATTTCACACGGTAAATATGATGAACACCTGGGACTGTAGCTCCTAGAAGCCTAGCTCCTGAGACGAGAAAAGTAAAAAGGAAGAGTTGGGAGGAAGACAGCTTCCCACCCTTTTGCAGTGGTAGACTTACTGTCAGCCCTTCATGGTCAGCACTTCTGATCTGGAGGGAAGCTTGGATCCTAACCAGCCCATGCAGTTTGTTTGCACTTGAGGAGATAAGCCCAAGGAGGAGGGGTCCCCTCTCCATGGCCATGTAGCTGGCCAGCTACCCGGCCTGGCCTGGCCTGGGTGGGACACTTAGGGCATCCTGCTTTTATAGGCTTTATCTAGATGCCCCCCTTAACTTTGAAGGGTCCACTCTATCTAGTGCACGTGTAACCCTCTTCTTACTGGAGCTGCCAGGTTGGTCTCTCCACCCATCCCACCCTGCCCACCCCCATTCTGATCCTCCACCTTTAGACACCTAGACACGTGGCTTGTCCTCCTGAAACCCCTCCTTCCCTTTTACCCAAACCTAGGTGCCCAAGGTTAGAATGGGGTCAGCCTGGAGCTGCCTTCAGGGGACGCTTGTCCACAGGCCACTCCTGCACGTGACAAATCATGTTGCCTTAATCATTTCCGGGGCTTGGGGAAGTATGAAGAATCAGGGAAGAACCTGAGGTAAGTAAGCACCTGCCTCAACTCCAAAAAAGCATTAAGTAAATACGTAATAAAATTCAGCTGTGTCCATAAGAAGCTCAAATGTACTACCTTCACTATCGAAACAAGCCTACGCCTTCTTGCAGAACACACATCCCTAGCCCGAGAGGGTTCGACGTTTGCTTCAGATCTCAGAACAGGTGAGGCTGGGCAGGTGTGCCGAGCAATGTGGCATCTCGTCCCTCATCCACCTCCGAGCGCCAGTGATAGTCCACCCTCTACGTGTGGTAGGCATGTGTCCGACGCCTGTTTCCGATGCTTTCACTGTTCAGATGCCTCATTTTTCAGTATCCAGCCCAGAAGAGCACAGACCTGTCACACGTCACCTTCCCCCCTACGGCCCTTCTGAGCCTGGTGCCTCTGTCATCCCAAAGCGCTCTGCAGGGACCCAGCCCTGCCGGCTGGAAGTGTCCTCAGTGCTTCCACTGGGGGCAGAAGCCACTGAGCGGCTCCCTTACAGAACATTCCCGCCCCCTCAGCCGGCCCACGAATGCCGAGAGGCCGCAGACTTGAGGCCATAGCCGGACGACACAGCGCATACACTGGAGGGCGAGGCCCCGGCCGGCTGGCCCCCTGGGCCCTTGGAGGGACAGCCCTGCTACTGCTCTTGCCCCGTCCACTCCCCACCCCACCCCAGCCCCAGGAAGACCTGGCCTCAAATGCCGGTAATTATCCTAGTGTCACCAGCACTCTTCTCAGTTCCTGACGTATCAGTGTCTTCCTGAGTCCTGCTGCCAAATCCTGATGCACTCTCTTCCACCGCCCTCAGGGGCTCTCAGCTGCAGGGCTGGGTGCCGGCAGGTGCGGAGGATGGGGACGAGGACGCTGAAAGTCCGCCTCCTTCTGAGGCTCAGATACAGAGGAAGAAAGTCCTCCCACAGGAAGGTCTGTCCAGTGATTTCAAGTGCCAGGCTAACCAGAGATCGAAGGACTTTGGGGAACACTTTCAATCCACAACAACAGGAACTAGCAAACTCAAGACTCTCTCCCTATTAAAAACCCCCTTCAGATTCACAACCCAACACTCACAACTAGTCCTCGTAAATAACTGGATCCAAATTGTGTTTCTGACCACATACCAACAAATACCTCCTGATGAGTGTCTGAGTGTGGACGCCTGTCTTCCTCAGCCTCCACCCACCTGTCAGGGGCCTCCCGGGACTGTGGCTCCTGGGGCACAGCCAGCTGCCCTTCAGGCATCAGGGGAGTGGCGGGAACCCTGTTGCGAACCTTCTCTTCAAGGGGGAGAAATGCAGGAGGGAAATGTTAACAGGATTTGTGGTTTGGGCAGAGCCCTATCACACCTGAGGCCACGGTAAGGCTTTGGCCAGACCCCGTCCGGTTGTCTGTCCACAGCCCTGGCCCTGGGGAGCTGGGGTCCGATCCTCTCTGTGCCTAGCTGGCCCTCTTGCCAGTTCCTGCAGGGCAGGAATTTGGGGTGAAGGTCCTCCTTAACTTTCTAAGATGGAAGTCATCTATAATTAAATCAAAAAGGCAGTTCTTCACTCAGCAGAGGTGAATACTGGAAATTCTGGACCAGCAATTTGCAACTATAAAATCACTCCAAATAAAACCAAAAAACTATCCCCAGGATATTTCGGGCACAAGGCAGAAGGGAGAAAAGAGGAAGACTTTAGAATGAGTGTTGGTTTTGTGCAGACAGCTTTGCAAATTTGCTGCCGTGGTGAAATGTTTCTGTTAGTCTTACAAAATGCTATGACATTTTCCATGTGAAAAGTAGCCTCTCTGGGACAGAAGGGCAGGAAGGGCTTAGCTAAATGGAAAGATGCCATCCCTGCAAGCTCACAAGCAGGAGGGAGTGCTGGGTCTCAGTGGGAGGAGTCATGGGGCTCTTACCTGTCACAAAGGCCCAGAAGAGAGTGCAGAACTGAAAGTGAGTGTCACCCTCCTTGTCAGGTAGAAGGTGAAATAATGTCACATTTGTGTGGCAGGAAGAGAGGTGGCCAGGAGGTCACAGGAGAAACTGCCACCGTGACCCCCCCCCCCAGGGAAGGGAGGGGTTGGTACAAACAAAACAAAAGAGCGTCCACGTTTGATACCCATCTTCTCAGACAGCTTTGCCACCAATGCCTGGTCACCCTGACACGCCACCGTCCCTCTGCCCGGGCAGCTGAGGATCCCCGGTAGAGGCTCATGCCTTGCACACTCCTGAGTGGGGCAGGGAAGGGGCTTGGCTGAACACAGGAGCCTGCAGGCTGTTTTCATTAAGGTGAGTCAGGAAGTGCGTAACCAAATGAGGCTTCGTTCGTAAACACAATGAAGTTTTTCAGTAAGTAAAAAACAGGAACACATGTTTCCTTCAGACCAGGTGTTCCCTCCTTTGGCTGGGAAACTTGGTCAGTACAGCTAAACCTCTGGCCTGCCCATGACCTCACATGTGACCCCAGCAAATCATCGAAACCTGGCATGGTTTGCCAACCCACTAAACAGGAACATTATCAACTTCCCTACCCACTGAGTCAAACTGGACCATATAGGAGAATATTCTGAAACACAGAAGTCATTCTTTAAATTCAACTTTTTGTCTGCACTGTTCCAGATAGGGTAGCAAGGCACCAAAGAAAGGGAATTACATCATTTTAATAGATGGCCACTTCTTGAGAGCCTCAGAGTGGTCTCCCGGGAAAGGGATCCCTGGTCTGCAGAGGGACTGGCTAAGGGTTTCTGAGCCCCAGGGGGACTATGGACCATCACCTGCTCTCGGCCCCGGAAGCTCCAGGCAGGGCCAGCCTGGTTGTGGGGCATGCTGCCGTCTCCGCCCATCACCCTGGTCTTCCTCACAGCCACAGTCCCTGGGCAGAGGGAGGGCATGATGTCACCACCCCCTAACATATTCTTTGGGTGAAGAAATTTGAAATGGAGCGTTGTCAAGAGATACTGTTTATAAACTAAACCTTAAGGTCTTGAACCAGCTCAGCCTGTCAGACACATGCTGACAGAGCACGTGGCCTTAGTGCCTAAAGGGTCCACGAAACTTCAGAAGGCTGCCCCCCCGGAGGTTAGGTTCCCACGGCCACCGAGGCCTTTCTGAGGCCTGCAGACTCTCTCTGCTCCCCTTCCACCAAAAGACTCCGTAGGGCGGGAGCTGTCGGCCTGCCCCACTAAGCTTTCAGTCAGAAAGTTGGTGAGCAAAGGCTCAGTGGCCATGTTGGCAGCTCCCAGCACTCATGCTGCCTTTCAGCCCGTGGAGTGACCCCCGAGCCCCTGCGCATTGCACATCCCGTATGCGAAGGCACAAAGCGTTTACCCACGGAAACGCACCGTGCTTGGCTCGGATATCACCAGCCGCGTCTCACTCCGAGGGACCGGGCTTGGGGACCGGTTCGTGGAGGTCCACCCGGGGCCTGGGCCCAGCCCACTAGTTCCAGAC